AAAAAAAATTATAAGTCATATCTTATAGGGTTTTTATTGAAAAATATTAATGATTCATTTTTGGTACACTATGCAAAATAGACATAAAAATTCTTTAGTTAGTATGACATATCTATAACAAAATTATAAACCACATGCATACCACACCAAAACAAAACCAACAAACCAATAAAGGAAGCATAGTACTAAATACATGTCGTAATTATTACCATTAGTGCATGTTGTCCCATTTTTGCATCAACACGAAATAAGCCCTCCATACACATGATAGTTACACGGAATATAGACAAAAGTACTAGCAAATTAATAAATAAGAGCCTTACCTTTAGAAAATATTGTTTGTTTAACGAATACACCAAAATATTTCTAAATAATCCACTTCCAAAAGTACGTAAATGAACCCGCTATCAAAAATGCGCGCCAATTGGTATAACGTCGGAAAGATACAAATATTGAAGTCAAATGTCATTATTTTAGTTAATTTTTGATAAGTCAATGGACAAAGGAATCACTGCCATTCAGCCAAATGTATCGATATCAAAACTGTTGTCGGGTATCCGCGCAAAAAGTTATTGATTCATTTTTGGGACTCTATGCATTTAAGGGTTAAAGGAATTTAAAAATTGTCGATCTATTATTTCGAATCTGTTAGAAGGATTAATGAAAGTGCGAACTTGAGATTTAGTCTCCATTTCTTGCAATTCGTGTGGACAATTTCTTTGCATAAAAATCCGCACAGTCTGATGATAACTTTTCCAACTGATCTATCTTTAAATTTATGTGTTTAACGTGAAATCCGCAATCTACTAATTATATTTGACGAAATATACTGTAATACTCTGTAAACCCTTTGAACTATGATTTCTTTCACAACTGAGTTGATTAGCACTTCCTCATTTTCTTAAAATTTTTGTTATTTTCTATGTCTTCGTTTACTTTCGTTTCTAGACTTTGCTAACAGAAGAATCGAACTTTGTTTCAATTTAAAAAGAATCAAAGAATTTATGCGGATCTTTGTGCAATTAAAAATGTTCTTCATCAATTGCGATAGGAAAGAGCCAAAATAGGGGTTCCTCTCTTTCTTTAATCATTTTAATAAGTCTAAGATAAAACACGAACAATGTTAAATTTCTAAAATTTGTCCGACGTTTTAAATTACATCCACTCATTTCTACAATAAATACATAAAATCCATAGTCCAATAACATTCATGTTTAATAGACCTTCTTCAACGAATACAACTCGTTGTTACAGTAGAATTTTTTTATATATATTTATACAGATGTTTTTGTTATATAGAATTTTTCAGTAGCAAGAAGTTCTCCCCCAATTAATATGAAATAAACGTAAAACGCGCGGCGCGGCAGCCGTCGCGTTTCACCCCTCGCACTCGTAAAAGCAGCCTCCGTTGGATAACATCCTTAAAATACGGCTCTTATTGTTGCAGGGTGCTAGCGAACGGAGAAGTGTGGGCGGCGAGGGCGCGCCAATTTTCCCTGGAGAAGCTGATAGAGCTGAGCAAAGAGGACGAGAGCACCAACGCGGCAAACGCGTGACCTCGGTTACACGCTACCCTAGGCGCGCGGACCTTGAACCTGTACAATTTCTGCAACGTTTAACAAGCTGGTAAAACCTCACGGCGGAGCCAGTTCGTACCGAATACCGTTGAAAGAGCGAATTCCCTCTCGTCGTTTGCCTCTTCCCGGTGGGATTCGGGGACAGCGAACCGTGATCGTGAAAATAAAGAAAAAAAGCGAGCTCTCTGGACTATACTTTAATTGTAAGATCAAGCGTGCATACTTGGTAGCCACGGCACAGCGAGTTCAACGACGAGACCGTGAAAGAGAGAAGCTTAGCGAACCCGAAGAAGCCGGAGAGTACTAGAGGCGGGGACCTTTCTTCTTGAACAACTCGGGGCCGATCTGAAAGGGACACAAAACTTGAACAGAGCCTGCTTCGCATGGCTGACCCATCATTTTCCTACCAGCCACGGAATCCCTCGTTGACCAACCCTTTGTCTACAACCCAGTCGATTGTTCGCGCGTTCTCGCTGTGTCGTTATCTCCGAATGTACGCGCTGCATTCTCGTATTAGCGAACGATCGCGGTTCGCGAGACTACGCTACACGATGGTTACTCTTTCTCTGTATATTTTAACCGGTAGATGTCTAACTGCGGGACGGCACTTGCGTTCGCGAACGGCCGCACGGTTCCCGTTGCGGGAGGTTCGGCTGGATCGCGCGTGCCCTCTTTCTCCCGCGGACGAAATGCCGTGCGAATGGTCGCCGATTACTCTCGTTTCGTTTGTCCAGTGTTTCGTTGACGCGACCAACCAGGACTGTCGGAGACCCGCTAAACAATTTCTGTACAGTCCCGACCAACGGCCAGTGACCGGAACGTAGATCATAATGGTCTGAAGCAAGCGTGGAATAAAGTTGTCTTCGTGAGCGAATGGAGGAAGGTGGATGGAAGCGACGAAACGTGATGGGATGTCTCTCCCGCGATCAAAGCTATGATCCTTTTTTTTTATATTCTTGTATCGTGTAACACAAAACAAATTTGTTCATGAGAGAATGGTATTTATCGATCGTCGAAGGAAATTCTTGCGTGCGTTCCTTCTTTTGATATGTTCTTCTTTCCTTCAGTTTCTACGTTTGTAAGGTAGACTAAGAGCAGCAGTAGCGAATATTGAAGATCAATGTGCGTTCACTGCCCGACCGTTTCACGCGACCCATATTTCAAGCGACGCGCAAAGTCTTCGTGGTCATTTTTCACCGTTTACATTGTACTGTTAGAATATTGTATTTCATATTCATGAGGATAACATCACGTTTCGAAACAGTAGAGCACATTCTGGCCCTGTCCTGCGGCACGAGATTTCTTTCTATCTCTGCGCATAGTAAATGTTACAGTATTTTAACATTATTCTCAATTATATAGCAAAACCGGTCTTGGAATTAGAAGTAAAAGACTTAGACGAAGAACTAATTGTATGCGAAAAAATAAAATTCGTATCGGCCGGAAATGACCAAAAGACGGTGGTGTGTAAGGGTCAAGAATTTTGCAGATTTTTGCTCCATCTTAGAGTGATATCGAGCGAAAATCGGAAAGAATTTCGGACAATGTTGGATTTGGACATCTGGCAGCGAACGTGTAGAGTCTCCCTATTACGAAATAATCAGTGTTCAGCATCTGACGGCGAGTACGTCCCACGAATGAATCTCCGGACACTGATTGTCTCGAGTGCAAAGGTTCTTGAGTTGTAGGAACGCGAGACTATAAAAGGTTTCTTGTTATTCCTATTGTATTACTAATTATAAGCAAATATAGATTGTGACGTGGAGCCGCGGGCAAAAAATATAACGCAGACGAATTGTTTAACCGGTCCCTCGATTTACGATTTACGATTTACCGGAGTTCTTCTGTTATCGATGGTCGATTATAGTACGCAGCGATGGTTGTCGCAAGCAAATATTACTGTAACTCCGCGAGAACAATAAATGTCCTCCATTGTTGGTAGACCCTTGTCCAAACGGCGACCACGACAGGTGCAACAACTTCGATGTGGCATTACGTCATTCGTGTAAACCATGTTACTGTCTATCGAATTATACAATTAAATTATTTTAATATTACAGAACCCCTGCAATTGTCATTTCCCCTAAACTGGTATGGATCAGGATAATCTACAGCATATTTGAACGCTACACAAATAAGATCGCGCAATCTCCAAACCGGATAGGTACAAATTGATGTGATTCGTAAATAGTGGCACATTCGTTTTACACGCGACTGCATTCCGAACGGACAATTCTAAAATACATGTTATCGAATTATAGTTACCGAACGGACGTTATTGTAATTTACGAGCCGATTCTGATCATAAAATTATTCTCGGTTGCAATGTATAGGTCATAACGGTTTGCGGTTAAAGCATTTGAAATCAATTGCACGTGCGATATAGTTACTATAATACTGCCGTGATAAATTGATACAGACGGATGAGCAGATATGAAGTTTGGTCGTTATATTCAGATTTCTAATTGCAATTATTTTCAAATGGGAATATACTTAATGTACAGTGCAATCTTCCAGCTTTCATTGAAGGCCTCAAAATTACAAAATTTCAATAGGAAGATATTTAAATATTATTTTTCATTCATGCACAAATGATTTCCGCGTTTTACATATAAGAAATAATATAAATTTCGACAACAATCAAAAAGGGTGAACAAATTTGTCGACAACAGTGCCTCTTATGGCGAATTTTGGTAGCTTTGTTGAGAGGTCCGTACAGCGCCAATTGTAGTAGTGGAAAAACACTTAAACTAGTAACCAAAATTACCAACAGTCGAATTCGCCTAACAGTTTGAGCGTTTTGCCACTACCCCAATTGGCGCTGTACGGATCCCTCAACAAAGCTACCAAAATTCGCCGTAAGAGGCACTGCTATCGACAAATTTGTTCACCCTTTTTGATCGTTGCCAAAATTTATAGTTTTTTATATGTAAAACGGTAAGAATCATTTGCGCTTGAATAAAAAATAATATTTAAATATTTTTCTATTGAGATTTTATGATTTTGAGGTCTCAAATTGAAGCTGATAGAATGCATTTCATATATGCGACATTCTGATTTGAAAATGACTATAAGATAATGAAAATCTAAATATAAGGAGATAATTACGCAGGAATCAAAGTCGAACAAAACTAATAAGAATTTGCGAAAGGGTTCCTTTTAGATTCTTTAATCCATAACTTTATTAGATCCTTTAATCCATATTCCATAATTAACAATAGAAATACATATACATAAATGAAATTGTAAATATTCAAATTATAGTTTATCATACAAACTTGTGCACGCATGCAAACTTAAATACAGTACGAAATTCGCCTTCTAATAAGGGAAGATCGTTCAAACAAGTTTTCGTAATCGAAAACATAAACAACTGTTTCTCATAACTTTAACTCTAGAGAAGTAAGTAAATTTTTTCTGTCTCCTTACTTGTCAAATCATCCTTTCCTTTATCACATTGATGATTTCCATGTGTTTTATATTTTGTACCTTCTTTCAGACGGGCTGCTACATTAAGAAAATCTCTGTTGACGGAAAATGCCATTAAGCAGAGTATTAAAAAGCATATCCTTCAATATTCTGACAATGAGGAGGAGGATAGCTATGTACATAATCTTCTTAATTCAACCAGTAGCAGTGAAGAAGATGGAAGATGTTGAATACTTTTAAATATCAAAAAGATACAGTATGAGAACTATATTGTAAACATATGATATCACGGACAAAGTTGAACAAAATAATGCAGTTAATGAAGAAAAGAACCTCAAGAAAGATTTCAAAACAGAGGAAATACGAGGATAGATTTAGACTCTGGGAATAGTGTCCTCAGTATTGTGCATGAAAATGAATCACATGATATTAGCATGGGAGAAGAACACAACAGTGATTCCAGAGTTTATGCATCCAACTTGAAAACCGGAGATGAGTCTATAGAAGAAACCTAACAGAGGAATATCTTCAAAAAATTCGTTCAATTATATTGACCGAGAAAGAATAAGGATATTGTCTATGACGAAAGTGACTCTCAATTTGAATTCGCGAAACAGTATGATGTATGTCGTTATCACCATGTTTTTTAACAAACTACTACTGCCTCAGAAGCATATGCTCCTCCTTTCACATCTCGCATGAGCGCAGTATTCTGTAATTCTACTGCGACTTGAATACTTCTTCTTATATCGTGATATTTTCACGCAATTTCCTGCCTTCATCCGGTAACAGATTGGTGTTACCAGCTTCTAGCAGCAACTAAAAATCCACAACACAGAGAATGAAAATATAATCAATATCAAATATCAAAGCATCATACTTACTTTTGATTTGCTCAGCTGTTTCTGTAAATGTTTCATTTTACACAGAAATGTTTCACTTTACTTTCTTTTGCACATCTATTGGATCAATATTATCAACCTCAATCTTTTGTTTGAAATTCCATTTTTTTCTCATCCGTTAAAGAGCCTAAAAAGGATTGAATATACATAATTTTGTAACATGCTTCTCAAAAATTATATTGAATGAACTATTTAAAGACATTTGTCTGTTGGGCTTACCACAAGGTAACCAGCGGTGATTCCCTTGTTTTCTTATTGGAGGAATAAACTCTGGAATCACTATTATGTTCTTCTGGCATGCTAATATCATGTGATTCATTTTCATGCACAATACTGTGGACGCTATTCCCAGAGTCTGATCCCGATACTTCCTCTGTTTTGAAATCTTTCTTGAGTTTTCGTTTCTTCATCAACTGCATTATTCTGTTCAACTTTGTCCGTGATACCATATGTTTACAATATAGTTCTCATACTGTATCTTTTTGATATTTAAAAGTATGCAACACCTTCCATCTTCTTCACTGCTACTGGTTGAATTAATAAAATTATGTACATAGCTATCCTTCTCCTCATTGTCAGAATATTGAAGGACATGCTTTTTAATACTCTGCTTAATGGCATTTTCCGTCAACAGAGATTTTCTTAATGTAGCAGCTCGTCTGAAAGAAGGTACAAAATAGCAGCGTGCAGTGCGATGAAGAACAGGATGAATTGACAAGTACAGGAACAGAATGTATTTGCTTACCTTTCTGGAGTTAAACTCCTCAAATAGATCTTGATCAGAAGACGAATGGTATACCAATTGAGACTTTCATCCATCTAGGCATCTGTAAGTTTCATTACTTTAAAATCACACAAATTTACATGGGTACAATGCTGTTTTGTTTGTATGCGAAATTATTACAAGCTTGCGCACGGAATGATCACTTTCATTTACACTTTCACGTTCATTGTCCTTCGCAATGTTTATGTTCTGTGTTCAGCTCGGTAACTACCAGCTACTCTTATTGTCAGTTTGCTTACTATTCGACTGATACAAACAGACTAACAAGAAGAGCAGTCGGAAGCCATGTTGCTAAATGTATTTATACACTACAGGGGACAACGAAAGTGACCCGGCTACGTGCGAGCATGTAACAATTTTCAAACTCGATTTTCTCGTAAGCGAAGCTCCAAACAGAAAAATGTTATTCCTTTCTTACGGCTTATTTTCGCACATAAAATCATTCTAGTTACGGCCAATATTGCTCGTTGAAACCGAACGAACAAAAAGGAGTTGTATTTCTCGAACCTATTAGAAACACGTTCTTTTCAAATCGTTATTCCTACGAGTACCGTTCACTGCACGGAGCTACAGTTTAACAGTGCTAAATAAATATTTAAAAAAATATCAAAATAATGTGTCCTCTTACCTTGAATTTGTTGGATAACCAAATTGATCTGGCGTCTAAATGTGGCGACATGACATCATAGTGTCGTGGCATCCCGCCGCTTGATGCCCTAAAGATCGATCATTCAAAGATCGACATTTTGATTTACGATTTTCGATCTGTCAGATCGATTTCTAAATCTTGAATCGATTCTAAAATCGATTTTCAACGAAAAAGATCGTAGATCGATTCACAATTTTTATAAATAATTTTTTCAATTTAAAATTATTGCGTTAACTAAACAATATGAGGTTTGGAGTATAGTTTATCTCCAGTGTTGAATTCTCTGTCATAAAAAAGTTATATGAATATGAATATAAATTGTAAATAAATGAAATGTTCTGCATCCGATTTAGATTGAAATGTCTGGCCAATGAAAAACTTGGACGCATTATCCGATCATTCCTAGAGGATTTCTAAATGCCATGACTAGCAGTTCTCATGTGGATGGCCATTCACAGCATACTTTTTCCTTAAGGTTCATACAGATATTGTGTGCAGATGTATTATAATATTATGTATGCCCATTGGCATCACTTTAAAATTTTCTGTACCTACTGATACTGTCACTTTCTGTCACTGCTTCGTTTTCCATCGAGACAAATTCCAGTAGATATTTACACCATATGGTGTAAGGATACCTATACTATGCATATATGTCGTAAGATCAATACATAGTGTAGGTATACCCACGGAATATACCAAATAGTATACGTTGTACACCCATATCTATGACTTTGTTGCTACACACATAATTAACCGGTTTGAATGACGTTTCTTAAATTACAATAATTTTCTATGTGTTGTATGAATGCGCGTGAATGTCGAGAATTATACATGCATAGCTTGTATGTTTGCGAATTATATGAATGTAGTGGAGTGTTCTAGGTTAAGTAGTGTTGCAGAGACTGCGTTATATTTTAAATATCCGGTTTCTTCCTAATCTTTCTTATTTGTCCGGATGAATTCATTAAATTTTGTACGTATCCAGAACATCTTTATTAAACAGTGAACGAGTGTCGCGACGAAGCAAACAGCTGCTTCATAGTGTCATATCAATTCTACGATGGCGTTATCACGTATCAGTAACTCTCCCGATATATTGACATGCCTTTCTCGTGTTTCACATGCAGGTATGAAATTTACAATACATATATATTTATATAAGAATTATGATCTGCGATTATGTCCATCAATTGACATGTTAAACGAATCTTATTGTGGGAACTTGCGAGCATACAAGTCTCATCGTTCGGTGACAAGTCAAAATTTATTAAAACATTATCAATTAGCATTATCTGCAAAGCGCATTTATTTTATATTCTTTCAATTCTTTCTTACTTTTATCAAACTCGATTTTCCTATAAATGTGATTGTTGTGTCCATTGAGAAAGAACGCGATTATTTTGCAACATTGCGAAACATTTTTCCGTGCAAGTGCATGCAATTAATTATGTAATATCAACGGAAATATGACATGACAATATATTTCTTGCCTTGAAAAGATTAGATTTGTCCTTATCGTATGTGTACATGCCTTACTTAAAAACTACATAATTAGCATTCATTAAAATTCCTCTGCAACTACGGCGCTTTTTAAAGTAATATGAGTCTACTACAGTCAATGCCGGGAAATGTGACCTTCCTTTTCAATAAACAGGCTAGAAAAGAAACGAGATTAGTAATTTATTCGTCATGCTATCGTAAATCAAAATACGGACAGGTACGTAATCAGCAATCCTAATTTCTAAGATCTTAATGAAGTAGCTCCCGCAACAGGAATCGTTATTATGAGTGGCACAAAATTATTCAATTAATAGACCGCGATTGAACACTTGTCTAAATAGAAGAACTTTTCATTTTTCTAGCGAATGCCTCGTTCGGCGAAATGCAATGCACGCGGTATGCAGCAGTGCACCAAAATCGCATCAAAGCTCTTCACATGACGAGCGTTCGACGTTATCCTGATCCTCCTACTCTACCGCTTCCTACGAACGTCTCTGAAATATTTGCAAGCGAAACCAGTCGTTTTACGCCTGAAAGATCTCGAGACATCGCCGCACCGGTGTTAATCTATGGCAAGGGTGTTAATCGCACATCATTCTGCACCGAGCAATCGTCGAAATCATTGGAACGTACCAGCATCCCCGTCACCTGCGGTGATTCACACGTGGACTCGTACGATTGCTTCGGGGCGGTGAATTTATGTAGTACGATGCAGACTAACGTACCGAAACCTTTTTGCTCTAGTGGCAAATCGACTCATTTAAATATGCCGGGTGGCCAGTGGGCCAGGGATGGAAAATACATTGCCGAGGACATGCAAAAGTCGCATTATCGAAACGTTCGCTTACCGAAATCAAACTTGGACACAAGCAGTTAGTAAATGTTCAAAGAAATATTAACCGACGATTGAAACTTTCTATCGCATTTACCGCAGCACATATATTGAATTTCGAAGAGAAAATTACGATATTCGGGCTAATGGTGGGGGAAATTAACGAATTACGAATAACTCGTCTATATTTATTTCGATAAATCTGTTCTAACTGTAGATTTTTTATCTTGTGCAATTCGCGTGTAATTATCAACGCTAGATGCTCTAATAATTAATGGGAGAAACGAAGTTAGTCGGGTCTTTACAAGTAATGTATTGTAATTATTGCAAAAATTATCAGAGCATGCTACCTCTGCTACCGACTAGGTAAACAGTGTGGAAATTGTAATCTGTCACTCAGGTACTGCAAGTCAAGCCATCATAGCGAGAATTATTTTGAAAAACCTGTATCAACCAAATTATATCTTCAGTATGAGATATTCGACGCAAACACCTGAAAAATCCAAAGACCAACAGAAAACGACGGATGTGTCCAAGAAGGAAAGATTCAGGCAGGTCGCGAGGGATTACGGATACACCGTTTTTGTGTTTCACATAGGGATCTCCTTAATATCTCTTGGCGCGTGTTATTCGGCTGTACTTAGGTTAGTTGTACGATAAATCTTGTTGCAATTTATTATTTTGTACTTAGACCAAATTTAACGCACTCAGAACGACAGTGACTTCTATAGTTTTACCATGAGATGAACTTTTTCAATAAAAAATAATGTAACGACTGAAAATTGCCATTCTGAATGTATTGAATTTCTAAAAATGTCATTTTTTATATTTTCTATAATTAACGAAACGATGAATTCAATCTGACTAATGATTACTGGGACTCGTGCACGGGTACCTACGCAATCGTTAGATACACATAAAATTATTTACTGATTTCAGTGGAGTAGATTTATCACCTCTTGTTAAAACTATCTGCCAGGAAAATGATGCATTAGAGAAAATATTAAATAATTCGTCAAGCTTTTTGTTGGCGTACAGCGTTCACAAGCTCTTTGCACCAGTACGATTGTCGCTCACGGTAGGACTAACACCGATACTTGTACGAAAATTACGAAAAATTGGATTACTTAAACCATACAAAGTAAAATCAACGGGACCTAGTTGAATGGTTCATCACAATAGTTATTATTACCTTCTATAATAGTCATACTATATACATGCATTTTTAATCGAACGTAATTACACATCTGTAAACGAACATAAATTCATTAAATAAATATACTATGTCTGAAATGTTTTTATGTATATATTCCGGTTTATTATATAAAGAATATAATAGTTATATGTAATTACTTTACACAACGTCACGTATATTTCATGTATGATAGTTTGCGCAACTACAGTGTTGTATATACGGCCATTTTAATTACAGCACTTTTAAAGTTATTTTTTTTAAATTGATTGCCGTAAATACATTACATACACAAAAGCTCGACAGTTTCAATGGACGAATTGATCAGTTATGTTGGAACAATAATTACACCCGGTTTGCGAGTCGTTACCGAATAATCTCGATTGTGTACCTGCTTTAACGGGCCATACGAGTATTTTGATTACGTATAGGAAACATACAAAAACGCCAATTCCTTGGCAGACATATATATGTACATAACTTTTTAAAAATATATTATAGTACATACTAAAAGTAATGCATATAAGTATATACAATTTAGTTAATCTAATATAGAGTATGTCTTAAGAATTAATTTTACACTTTTCAAAGACCTGGTTGCCTCGGTTGTAGCTTATAAAGATAAGGTTTCGAAAAATTTGTTAGAAACGAATAAGTATACAAAAATTCTTGTTTAATAATTAGACAAGTAAAAAGCTTCGGACGTTTGATCGAATCTTAGTAAATAGTACAAAAAATATCTCTAAACACAGTTTCGTAGAATTATAAAACACATTCGAGAGATTAGTAAGCGTAATTGTTCATGATCTTATCGATCAAACCTAAATTGGAAGGTTTGAAGACATGATAGGCAGTATCAACCATTTGCTTTGTGCATAGTAGAAAACTACACTTATAAACTTTGAACACTTCGTTTGCAAACAGTTTGAGCATTTTTAACTTAACGTAAACAATATAATATTAGACATGAATTCTGCGAAGTTACGAAGGAAGTATACATTACCTAAAATATAATGCAAACTTTGTCTAATAATACTTTGAAACTAATCATCAACGATTAGTTTTAACATTTTATACAGTGTCCTTATCAAACTTCTAGAAAAATACAATGGAAAAGTTCGCAAGTAGCTTAAAGAAACATACAACCGTCTCAATAGAAGAAGAAAGAAAAAAAACAAATGGAGTATTTTGGCACGGCACCTACCTATAATCTCATTGTTATTAATCATGCATCGATAAAATATAAAAAAAGATCATATTTTCTCATTTAGATTTGCTTTCAATAAGTCAAACTTAGCACATAAATCGTTTAAATATTATCAACTGCGATGAAATGGATATCATTATGAATTAGTTTGGTTGATTATCATCCAAAAGTGATATCAATGGACAGATGTGATGATTGAGGAGAACAAAACTTTACAAGCTTTGTTGTAATGGAATTATGAGTCTTTACACATACGCTTCCGCACGACGACCCTTTATATGATTGAAAAACTGTCGCCAGCTAGTCAATGTTTTACTCGACCATACCCAGAAGCTGCTAGTTATACCGACGATCATAGCCATTAGATATTTTATCATAAAAACTTCAAACTCTGGTCGCCTCCCAACATCACGGGTACGCTCGCCAACGGGGCATGGTATAGAGTACAGAGATTGTGGCCCGGGTCTAGAACACATCTCCATATTCCATGTTAACATCCATTGATCGAAGTACGCTTGCTCGTAAAATAAACAAGCTATGACAATCAACGCAGGAACTATGTATAGTACAGAAAATATGCCGATACGAATCATTAATTTTTCTAATTTGTCAGTCTTTGTGCCATCGTGTTTCATTACCGTACGGATACGGAACAAAGAAACAAATCCGGCTAATAAGAAGGCAGTTCCAAGGATAAGATAGACACATAATGGTGCCAAAACGAATCCGCGTAAAGCTTCCACATTCCAAAGTCCTACGTAGCATACACCAGATAGTATATCTCCTGCAATAATAAATATATTCGTAATCAAGATTATGTACAATAATTAATTATAGTAATTATGATCTCTTTTTTTAAAGCAGAATTAGACTTACCTTCTACCTTCCCCATTGCAAGAATGGTAACTGTTTTTATCGCCGGTGCTGCCCAAGCAGCTAAATGAAAATATTGTGAATTTGCTTCTATTGCTTCATGGCCCCATTTCAGACCAGCAGCTAGGAACCATGTCAAAGTTAAGATGACCCACCATATGCTGGATGCCATCCCAAAGAAGTAAAGCACCATAAATAGTACCGTGCACAATTTATGCTTGGTACCTTGCGTTATCGTTGATGCCATTTGCATTGTCTCTAAAAGAGGTGGGAAAGGTTCTCTGCATGCGATCGAGTTACCAGCTGCCCAACCAATTACATATACCAGTGCTACCATAAGGTAGCAAACTGATAAGAAGATAATTGGTCTTTCCGGATACCTACAGATAAAACATTATTTAGTATATTTGAAACATTAATACCTTTTGCAATGCAGAACTATCAAACTTCTTAGGATCATGATTCATAGAAATAGACAATGGTAATTATAATCTGTTCTGGCAATTACAATGATTATAAGCTTAACCATGGTTAGTATAATAAAACAACCATTTTAATCTGCTAATTGGATGATTTCTCAACCATAAAAACTGATATACGGACACAATAAAAGGGGAATGGTGATTAATTGAAGTAGAGTATCCCATGGTGTATACAATTACAATTTAATTAAATTGCTGCTATGGATGTTGCAATAGAATTGAATGCAAGAATTTCTAGGTAAGTAAATAAAAAAATTATTAATTAGTCAAAGATAAAAATAGACAGAAATGGTCAATACACTTTTCCTCTTTAGAATTTACAACTTCTTCATATACATATATAAATGCGAAATAGAACTGGTGAGCAAAAAATATGTTATTGATTAATTCAAAAGTACACTACCTAACAGAAAATATAAGTTCTAACGTAATCCTTGGTCCTGCAAACCAATGATAAAAATCCTTGTATAAATATCCATATTTTAATTATCCAACAAACACAGTATTATTTGCAATTTTATTCTTTACCGAATGATATACATTTCTTGATATACATTCAAGCTCACCATGAGAAATTGTTTTACATGTAACATTCGAAGTAGTTCAAATAATTCTATGATTGGAAGGCAAAACAATGTATGTGGACATTAAAGTTTCATTACCAGGCAAAGTACAAAATAAATATATGTTTCTTGACCACAATGAATTTACGATAAAACTTTCAATCCCACTTTCTCTAAGGTATGAACTAATCTAAATCAGTACTCAACTGTGACTAAATATAACATGAACAAATCTAACACAACAAACACAACCCTTTCTTTCTCATCGATTTCAAATTTCGATTGTCCTACATGATAGACAAAGAGCATGTCACTCGAGACCCTCCCCTCTACACCAGTGTTTCAAGGTCAAGGCCACCGCAGTTAAGGGTCGAAACACACTTACATGCCGGGCTCGGTCGTGCACCAAGGCCGAGATATTCTTTCATTTGGTTTACATCAGAGTGTTCACATTATGCGCGTCGCTCTCGTGCCGTTCGGCCAATACTGTTGTCAGCACGACCGGGCCTGGCATATAATAGTATGCTTCGACCATAAAGCGCCCTTTTCCAGGTAATAATCACCGACTTATACAGCTGTAATTGCGTTCCTTATATGAACGCAGTAAACCCCGAATTCCCATTCATTATCCCCATTATTTCGTGAAGCAGCACTTTTCGGCCGTCGGTCAAGATTTAACTCGGACGATTCTAAGAAGCACGACTGTTTTGCCGCACAATCACAGAATTCCGAAGCGGTGTCGTACGTGAGCCGTGGTCGTTCGTTCTATTTACCTGAACCTATCAGTGTCGATGAGAAACGTCAAAAAGGTGAAGAAACAGGAAGCAGCGCAGACGGACGCCCAGCTGCCGACCCAGGCCCTCGAAAATCGTCGTTCCCTTTCAGAGAAGAACATTCCGTCGCAAGGCGCGCCGCAATTAAGTTCTACCTTGTCGCCGACCTTCAACGAATATCCGAGCTCGTGCGGCACTTTGAACTGCAGGGGACAAACGAAGCCGAAATCTCTGGCGCCGACCATAAAACCGCTGCCGAACGGTCTGGGTCCTCCGGTCCAGGACGGCTGGAATTCCGGGACAGGCATTCGCGGCGGCGGATAGACCGGAGCCGACGGCTCCGGCGGCGTGGTCTCGTTGTGCCCGACGCATAACTCCGGCCCGCCGTTTTCGGGCAGTTTCGAGCAGTCGAGATTGTCCGGCCAGTCGAAATCGAAGCTGTTCATCAGACGCTCGCATCCCGCACGAGCACTCTCGCACAACGATCTGCACGGGGGTATGGCTCTGTCGATAATGGTGCACACGGGCGCGTACACGGTGCACAGGAAGAACCGAAGGTCAGGGCTGCACTTCATCTTGACCAGGGGCGCGAACTGGTGCACCTCCTGGCCGGCATCCTCTTGCTTCTGGTGATTCATCAGGTTCGGCATGATCGTCTCGTTGTACGGTATGTTCATGCATAGATCGATCGTGATCGGCTCGCATCTACCGTGGTGTGCCAACGGATCCTTCGCGTGCAGAGCATTGACACCGAGCACGGCCACCGAAAGCCCGCAGATCGTTGTGTACCACAGAATCATGGTTGATCACTGCCGGCCGACGGCCACTACCGAGATCAATCGTCGCGCGAAAGCCAGCCTTCGAAAACACGCGGACGCACCACGCCTTCGTACATCACCAAACAATCGTGCGGAACATAATAATCTTGAACCGAGGGAGCGGGGAAACGAGCGTACCTAGCGACGATGATGGACGCGACCGCAGTAAGACTGTAAACAGAACACGGTGCATGGGTTACGTTAGAATGGAAACCTGGTTGCGATCAGGAGCGTCATCGTCGCCCCCTGGGTTGGATCGACGGCACTACGGATCCTGCTGAGACACTCTGGGGTCTTTTGTAATCCTAACCGAATTTTCCAAGAGTGTTTATGCGATTAATAGATCGAAGGGTTACACTGTAACGTTGTGCCTCTTCTACAGAGGACAAACTTCGGAACTAAAACGCGCGCAACGTAAGTGAATTTTGTAAAGAAATGTGAACTAGATTTTGATCAGGGGAAAGTTGAAGTTAATGCGGATCGCGGATGACCCTGATTGTATATGTATAGGAATCGGAAGACAATGAGACTATTTTATGGCATGCTAGAATAGGCGGATGTTCATTTGAATATTCCGAGTAATTTTAATTATGATAATGAACGACAAAGTAGGTGATTGTAAAACGTCACGCAATGACTCCTGTAACTGCAGAAATGCGATTCCAGTATCTAGATTTGTAACAAACGAGCGCCTAACAAAGATTTTCGTTTATTGGCTCTTCGAGTCGAATTTGCTTAAACATTTCCCACGAATGCGACTATGTGTATATTGTATAATTTCAGTAATGAGCACTCTTAATGAAATATTCGATCATTTCCGACGGTCGAAAGTATATAATTTCAACAATCGTAAAATAAAACCTCTGGAACCGGTTGTTTTTCCGGTGGCGGCGGTACGTTTAGCGTTAGGCCGACATTTTTCTCGAACGATAAGGATCGTTGCACGCGATCGGGGATAACTGAGAAGACGCAATGTTAATCGGTTCATTTTGATTTTATTTCTTTCCCGACATATAATGCACAATATGTTCGATTTCGTTAGTTGTAATATTTGCCAATCGCAGGCGATCAGCCGTGATCGTAAGTACTATGGTTTTGTTCGCAATTATTTCCTCTCATTGTTCTTCACCTCTCTCTCTCTCTCCTTCTCTCGTCTCCTTCCCTTTCAATCGTATAGTACGTACGTGCTTCTTGGAATTCGTGCACTTTTAGACGGGGTCGCATTGTTCGGGCGGTCGCTGTCACTGTATTATACAATTCTATACAATGATAGTCTTCTTGGAGTCGGCGCGAGCCGCCCGAAATACGATTCGCAAACGGCCTCGTTTTTATCGTAAACAAATAAATAATTTATCTCCTCGAATACTCTCAACTTGAATCGTCGCATTAGACGTAGGAGGTCAGCCTTACGATCTTACGATTAGTAACACTTAAGATTCAATACGGAAGATTGAAATACGCCGAGCGAACCACTTTTTTCGTCTTCGCGTCACCTCCGCGCGTAATTACCGTTTTGTTAACTGACAATTTCGACTGTCGCAAAACGAGGGAAGCCGGTTATTACAGGAAACGCTATCTGACGGAATAATTGGATATCGACTTCGCGTTTTTTTTTTGCCTCGTCGCCGCGTCTGCCGACCGTTCCGATCGGGATCCGCGCATTGTCGTTTCTTCGTTTTCCCGCAAGAAAAAGGTCACTTTCGTTTTATCACTTACGCGCTGCTAAAGGGAGAGCCAACTAGAAATCATTTACACATTAACCGGTACTTATACAAATTACATGTATACGTATCGCTGTACACCTACGTCAACGTGTCGCGGCATGTCGTGTACAAAAGAACATAATAAGAGGAAGACGATTGGTAAAATGGAAGGTTCGTGGCTGTTACAGTCGGAGGGCAGGTCATCGAGAGATCGTCCGGGAACCTGCTGTCCACGAATCAACATCGACCTCGCAACCTCTGCCCTTTCGTTTCACTCGAACGCTGACAAAGGACGAAGGTCTAGAAGGATGTACCGCGCAAGATTTGGGCTGCGAACAAGGTTGATCCTCGCAGCAGATAACGTTGCACAGCGTCGGGCTCGACGTTTTGATTCTCCGTTCGTTAACCTTCGGACGGCGGACGTATTTGAGCATTTATGGCAGCCACCACGATTTTAGGTCCATTCGAATCTTTACGATTAATTTTCATTTGTATATTATTAAAACCTAATTGATCCTTTTACTAGTGTCAATATTAACAGTTATAATAATTCCACAGGACTGTCACAAAATTTAGAATCAATATGGAACGTTCGTAACACTCTGGGTCCGAACGGACCCGGCGCCCGCCGTCCGAGGATTAAATCGCGTGGACAGCACGGACGCGTGCCAGGTTTACGCGATGTTCTCGCGCACGCACGTGACCATTTATCATCCTCTCCGTGGTTCAGCTGCTGCGGATGAAGTTTCCGAACGGATCGTATACTTTGTTTGGACCTATCATTATCCTTTTTCTCTCACGATGCGGTACAACTGCGCAAGTGGAAGGATCGAAAAAGTTCGAGCGGCTTGGGACGTTCGATTGGCACAAAGCACGCGAGGAGACGTCGCGAAACACACCGCAACACGTCCGCAGCGAATCGATAAAGTATCTGCACACCTACTACTGTGTTAGTCGACTGCAAGGAAGGAATTGGAACACCAACGTGCCGCACACGGTGCTTCGTTACGCCCGGAAATGAATGTTTACAGTTGAGCATATTATCTCTGTGCACAGCGAAGCCCGGCAATATGCGCACTGCGTTAACGAACTAGGTGTACAAACAGCGTTTTTCGATTCGCCGCCGCGTGTAACTTACATTTGCTATCCAGATGATTGTTTCCGTCGCGTTTTCTTACTCCTAGTGGGGCGCGTTGATCGTACAAAAAAAATGTAATCCGAACCGTGGCACGACCTGCGTGCCGTTTTCGTTCCGTTTTATTTGTAAACGTCCCAAAACCGCGGTACCGTTACAATTATTCCAGTCAGACTTCGAGAACTCTCTCTCTCTCTCACACTCTCTCTCTCTCTTTATCTCTCTATCTCTTTCCGAGCGTCTAGCAAGTTTCTACTCGTTTGTGTCTGTCGCGCGAGCGATCGATCGAACCGAAAGCCTGGATCGATTACATGCACCGCCGCTTATCTTAGCCGGATGAGCTCCAAACACTCGCGCGGTCGGATTACAACGTTTTCGCTATTAAAGGGACACGTTGACGCTCGTTCAAGAATGTGGAAGAACCCGTATACAATGCTCGCCGCCGTCGGACGGCGGAGGAACGAAGACGAAAAGTGGCTCGTGTGCTTCACCCGACGTTAGTCGATTAACATCCTCTGCTCGTATACAATCACGACGAGATGTGCACGCAAATCTCATAACGCGCGCGTAGGATTTGAAATACAGTATACGCGCAGAGGTTCGCCTGCAAGTACGCGCCTGTACATAATTACGTGTAAAATCCGTCGCGCAATGTCAGAAGAGAGTTGCCCTCTTTTGATTAGCCCTTTGGAGATTCGGTTGCCCGCGCGCCATCACGCGGGACAATTACAGTCGCGTGCCCGCGAACGTTATAGTCGCCCGTCGACTTCCCTTAAAATATTACAGACAAAATACTGTGTGTTTCGAACGAATTTGATTCGCCGTCGCTCTCTCTCTCTCTCTCTCGTTCGCCGGTGACGAATGCGTTTTTCTACTTCTTTTTTTCTCTTTTCCTGCTCGTCCGCGAACCGGTGAACGCGGACCCCTCCAAAGGGTTAAGCCTTCTCTTTCTCTCTCTCTCTTTCTCGTTCCGAAAAAATAATTGATGCAATCGTACTCGTAATAAAAAGGCATAAAAATTGTTTACGCCTTTCTTGATTAGCACCGAACTTAACGACTAGTCAGTTTACGTGCGCGGGGCGTGTCTGTACAACCAGGGTCCCCGCGGGCACGGTCTACTCAAATTGTGATCGTGAGTTTTAAAATCCGAGATAAATGCAATTCGTTCTTCTGCCGTTGCGCCGCACGACACGCAACAATAAAGTAGAGATTAAAATACTTTCGAGACATTCGAAAAAATGGACAGACTTTCTTGGAATATTCAGCAAGATTAATACATATAATGCTGCCGCGCCGATTTAACCGCCGACGCGCATTATATATTAGATTTATTTCGTACCACTCTCGGTGTACGCGTAGATATATTTTTATCTATTTTATCGATCTATCTACCGTTTTTTTTTCTTCTAACGACACTAGTTCGTGCCCAACTAACCTGCTCGAGCGTGTCAGGTGTGTGCGAACATCCTCTCCCGCATACCTGGCGCACGGTGCGAAATGCCGTTAGACAAATTCGATGGTTAGCCGGATAATCGAGAATTTTGCCGCTTCGAGCGAACGTATATAAACTGAAGCAAATAACCGCGTATTAAAAACGGAGCTTGCCTTCTTGCCGACGATTTCACGGCGATAACTTTTCAATCTATCCGAACGTAGAACCGTTGTTAGGATTGTATCGGCTGTTGCGTTATGGTATCGACGCGGGCTATTAGACTGTGAATTTTATGCGTTCATGGTAAACACGATTGTCGAGAACTTTGGTGTAGAAAACAGTTTAATGAACCGTGCCGAGATTTCTCACTCGTTTAAGGCTGGGTCAGTAGAATTGGAAAAGATGATCGCGATCCTCGTCAACGGACCCTGAACTAATGGTATTCCTCGCGCAGAAAGTCGTCAGCTTTCCATCGTGATTACGCTTCAACGTGTCTCGGCATTAACGGCGCCGTTTTCAATTAAGTTAACAAGTAAATCGAGCAGTTACTGAAAAAAAGGAACGAACACTTTGCTCCCATTCTTTGCGATTGGTACAGAAAGTATGCGAGTCCGCGTAAAGATCCGCGGTCTATTTTAACGAACAATTTGATTTTCTGTCGCGTTGATCGAAAAATCAAATCGTGGCTTTTCGTCACTTTTTTTTTCTTTTTTTCTTGTTTTACACGGAGCGTGCGCTCGGTGTCGGTCGAAACCGTTCAAACGGATTCGTGAACGTCACCCGCGCGATTTAAATGCATCAATACCCGTATACCGATATAACTTCTATGAATTTCACGCGCGTCGTGACGTTCACGCGTGCGAGCCGCTGTATGACGCCTCGCCGGCGTCGTCGGGACTCGTCGCTCAAGTATGCGGGTCACGATGAAACACGCGAACACCTGTACCCGTCGATCATAACGAAATAGTGAAACCAACACAATCGAAGGAAGTAGTACGGTTGCACTTTTGAGCAAACGATCGCTCTCATCGCGTATCATAGTGAACGTTCCATTGTGTTTTGTACGCAACGAGATGTCCTACGCTTGGGAAGATACATATTTGGCACTGGATTCTCCGTTTCCTCCCTTTTCAGAGAGCTTTTCAGGCTCGAATCGCAAACTCCATTCGCGCCGATGAATTTCATTTCGGGCCGTCCTGGATCGGCGATGCCGATTTATCGTTCCTCGCACGCGTATCCCGGTTCGCGCGAACTGTATCGAACGGTTTCGATGAAATCGATCGTGATTTATAATTTACGTAGCGTCGACACGACTGTCTCGAGCATTCTCGTTGTTCTCGTTCTCTGTGTTACAAACAGAGCCGGGTAAAATAGTGTTTCAAATGGCGAATAGCAAATAGATATTTTATTTTAGATCATGCACCTGATCATCTATTTTTGAAAATAAAATATTTTATTCGTCGTAACATATTTTCGAGATAATATTTCAAATAGTATTTTACTTGAAAAACACCGAGAATATTTGATTCATTTAATTCGTTTCGACAAATAAAATAATTTTATTTCACTAAATCATAGCGCAGAATTTGTTTCGGCAATCTAAAACGAACGAAGTACTTTTCCTCTGCATTGTAAACGTACACAAAAGATGCACTTTGTTACATGCGAATAGCTGCATTTAAAAAGACAATAGATTTCATTCGTTTCCATGTTTTACGTTATTAAAATAACAGCTGTTTCATTTAACGTTTTAGATTGCCCAAATAAAATATTTATTCTCACGATTTAGCTTTAGAAATTACCAGAACAAACTATCTTATTTTACGTTTCAAATTTTCAAAGTAAAATATTCATTTCATACTTGAGCCGTGGACCGTCGAAATAAAATATTTTATCTACTGAAATTTTACGTCCTACTTGAAGTGCCATTTTATTTGAATCGCGACGAGTCTCTATTATATAAAATAGCGTTCCAAATATTTTCTCCACAAATATTACCCAGCTCTGATTACGAGTTCTGATTAAAAACGAGCGACTGTTAGACGGAGAGCTCTGCGCCAGGTGTGTACCGACAAAATCGATCCCGTCTGGCATGATCATGCTCGGATTAAATGGAACACTTTCCTCAAGATCACTTTCGCTATTTGGAAACACGTCGGACATGCCATCCTCTTCTGTTCTGCTAGCCCGCAGTCCGTTTCGCAATGGCCGCGGACGCAATACCCGCGATACCTGATATCCGATACACAGCCGATTGTGTTGGTACAAACGCGTGCAATCTCCGAATCGAAAATCGATCAGCATTGTTTACCTAATCAAGAAAGAAGCAAGAGATTTTCGAGCGCGATGAAACGTTTCGACACCGCGGATAGATAAAAAAATGGCGCGTCCGCCTCGGGACCGACGAGACGAAAGGAGAAGAAAGTTCGTTTCGCACGTTGGAATCGACATCGCCTGGCCAGGAGGGACCGACGCGACAATCATCGCGCCGTCGGTGCTCGGCGATAAAAATACACCACTCTTCAAACTACAACATCCGCACCGGCGCGTTCGCGTTTCATTGCGACCGAGACCGGTGAACCTACCGAGATCAAAGGAACGATATCAACCAACGATCGAGATTCTCAACCGACGAGAGATCTGTCTCCCAAGGTTGCAGCCGTGGACACGCAGCTCCCAGGCCCGATCCGCGACGTTCGCGCGGTTAGCGCGTACATCGTTAACGGCGAACGCGTACTTATATACCGTGTGCCACCGCGCGGCCGATTAGGATGCGAAAAAAATATACGTAGCCGCGCGTGCGTTATGACTAGATAGTTTCGTAGACCCTCGTGTATCGGCGATCGAAGACCACCCTGCCGACTTTCGCTTCTGCATCGGACGACCGAGCGAACGGGAACCTCGTAAAACGGTCGTTAACGCGACGATCCGACGCGGCTTATTGTTTCGGCGAACCGGAGGATCGAACCGGATCGATAGGACACCCGATCCTATCGCGATCGTCGCGATAGGGACCGGCTTACCGTGTGTTCGGCGACGAACGATTGAGCACAGAGAACCGCCGATTTCGAAGTGAAGTTAAACCTAGTTTGATCTTAGCCTCATTTAAACTCGAGAGATTTCTCTTAATTAGTTACTTTTGCTTTCTCCCTTATTCTCTCTCGTTTGCTTTCTTTTTTTTCTCTTTTTCTTTTCTTTGTTTGTTTTTGGATTATCGCAGAGCTGCTCGTAATCGGTCAAAAGACGAAAGGGTTGATCGAACGTCGGCAGGGATCGATCCGTGCGCACCTGACGTTCTTCGAGCCGAGTCGCGAGGAGAGCATCGTACGACGATGATATGGCGTCAGATTCACCTTTGTTCCTTTAACGAGGGCTCGCCCTTAGCTGTTCATCACGGTGGATCGCCTGGAGTAGCCCCGTCTCGTCACCGTCTCACCCTGAGCCTCGCACTCCCTCTTCACACGATCGATTATGTCAGCCACCAGCTTCTCTTCTTTCTCCCTCTGCTGCTCCCAGTCCGGCCCTTTCCCGATCTGTGGGGGCACGTTTCACATTTTTCGCCCTTACTTCGCCGAGCGTGAACGATCGCGAATGATGCGCAAGGAAGCGGACGGGGGTTGTCAGCCGCGAATACCTTTCTTCGCCCAATCGACGCCTCCGCTTTCACGATCGGCGCACGATCATCGAATTCACCGGCGGAAGAATTTTCCAGCTATACCACGATTTTCTGCACCGTTTCACCAACGATCGACGCGTCCCAGAAATTGGCTCGTCCGGCTGCGAACCTTTGCGCGATCTTTCGAATTCACGCATTTGATTAGGTCGCGTTATAAATAACCTCCGAGGCAGCTAGGTAGGATCTATTGTTCGTGTCTGCCAACTACAAGCCATCAAACGAGTTTTCGCTTTCACTGGATAGAGAACGGTTCGAGATAAATAAAATGAAAAAAAAGTAGAAAGATAAATAAAGGGGAAACGAGATAAATGTCTGATAAATGGAAGTTATTTGTCATACGATCTAATAAGATACTCCGTCTACGACAGTAATAGCTCAGATAAAAATTCCTACAGGATCACTGAATTCACACGGCTAGCGTCCTCGATCTTTGAACTCCTGTACAAAAGTCTTGCGATATTCTCCACGTGGCAATCGCGTAGGGCAAAGTCTCTACAATAAAATGAGCCTTGGAAATGATTTTCGAACAACAGCGCCAGAAGAAATTACTGGATTATGTTTCTGAAAGCGACTTCTTGGTGCACGATTAATATCGCGAGCCTCCTACGGTGTTCGGAATGACTTACACCGATGGTGTTCGGATCGCATAATCGCGCTACGTATAAACTGCGCCGCGTGATACAATGTTCTCAAGCTTATTATATGAAAGGACATTAATACGAGAATATACAGAAAGTAAAAATGTCATTGCAAAATGCGACGAAGACTTCGTCAGAGTGGTAATTAAAAAATTTACGCGGAACGGGTTCATCCGACTCACGGTAGCAGTAAACATCGTCGAAGGGTTGAAAGATCGACCGGAAAATAGCTTGAAGGATCCTGGAACCGCGAGATACGGATTTTCGAGGACTGCGAAATACTCGGATAAATTGCGGGTTAATTGCGGCTCGTTAGCCGCGATCTAGGAGTCGGTTCAAATTAGACCGCTACCGGTTACCAAGAATTTCCCGTTCGACTGTACACGGTGGACTATCTTGACCTGATTGCGTAATTGCGATGAAGTAATCAAGAGCTCGTGTTACTTCTTGCCGTTTATCCTTGCGCGGTCGCTTTCTGGTTGTTTTTTCGTATAGGCGGAGCAGAGACTCGCTCGGCGATCGAACCCGCGAGAGCGGACGCGCGTGGATAGAAGAAAGGCTTTCGCTGAGCGAGAAGTGTCAATCGACACGGGGGGATAGAAAGGTCAGGTGTATGAGTGGCGAAGCGATCGCGTTGATAGAGGGTAAGACTTACGTCGGAGGACTTCCGGGCTTTCTTGTTGGCCGGCTCTTCCCTGTTCTCGTCGTTCTCGTTGTCGGAATGCCGGGAGCTCAGATGACCGATGTAACCCTTACGGGACTTGAAGTAAGCATTACAGCTGTGGCACTTGAAGAGCGGCGCCGGTTGGGTGACCTGGGTGGAGACGTGGAATTTGTACTTGTGCCTGTACCAACGGGTTCGAGACGGTAGGACCTCGCCGCACCATTTGCAGACTACGGAACCGTCGTTTTGAATGAGGTATTCCAGCAGCTTGTAAAACAACGTTTATTTGGTTTTTTCTCTCCCTCTCTCTCGTTCGTTTAATCATCGTTCCTCGCACCCATTTTTCACGTTGCTCATTCCCCCCACCCGCCACCCCTTTAGAAAAACACACGATTCAACCATCCGGGAGCAAAAGCTTCGAATGAATACGACTCTGTAATCTCAATGTGGGCACCCGTCTGATAAAGTTACGCCGTTTTGCCGGCCCGGAAATACGCGGATCTTTGAAACGTTAACACAAGGTTTGGTCAAAGTGTCGAGTGAACCTTGGTGGAACGCGTCTCGAGGAATCTCATATGTTGAAAGAGATAACAAGTTTTCGGCGCGCGGTAATGCCTCAGCAAAAAGTTTCGCATCGTTCATTGTTAGTTGTCCGCTGTTACGTCAACGTTCACACGACGAGTCAGCCTGTGACTTCATTTTTAAATTAAGCACCAGTTACTGCTGTTATGTAATCTGCTCCTACCGTGGCAGTTTTTCTTTGGTCTCTTTTCTTTTTTTTAATCGGGACGAAAGCCGATGGAGGACGATTCGATTTTGAAGAAAAGCGAACGTGGTCGTTCCTAAAACTTACCGACTCGAATCCGAACGTTTGTTACAGTACACTTGATATTCAGATCCGTTACATTTCTTTATTCTCGACTTCTCTTTCAGATTTTCTCATGTTTGACAAAGATTCAGTATGTTTTCCAACGATCGGATCGCTATAGCTTCACAACGACCCGCATTATTATACTTTTTCCACCAAAAACCGCGTTACGTCGCCGCTGTGTCCAACCCCTTGGACACGTAACCGTCAATTTTGTACCTTGTTCGTGCCTTTGCAATGCCAATCAACAAGTTGAAAATGTTCTCTCTCATGGTTCGATAAATTTTCGAATAAGTTCGAAACTAGTTAGACGTTCAAGTAATTAAAAAGTTCCCTGATATTATAAAACCCGAAATCTCTGATCTAGTACAAGTACAAGTATATTACAAGTACAAGTTATTATTCAAGGGACGCCTCCGTTTTCCGTAAAACTTTGTATGAATTACATTGACAATAATCACTAGACTGCGGATTTGATGCATTTATAATTAAAGTGTGTAGGTAAAATACAAAACATAAAAGCTTGACGTTGGAAGAATTTAATAACGTTACTATTTTCAACTGATTAAAGTTACTGATAGACACGATTCATTTTTCAACACGTTCAGTGCCGACGATCAACCACTAAAAAATTCCCAGAGTCAAAGCAATTTAATTAACTACGCCGAAATTAGAAAGTTGAAATTTATCATGACATTAGAACTCTTTCGCATCCGAAACATATATAGTCAAATATAAAGTTATATAAGTTATATAACTTTATTTGTATAAATTTTTATAAAAAAATTAAACTTTTATAAATATAAGTTATATAGTCAAATTCATTTTGTTCGAATGTATTGCAACGAAAATGTATTTTCAAAATTGGTGAAAAATTAGTGTCACCCATACGCGATCGACGCGGCGTCCAACGTGTAAAAATATTTCTGTATTTTACAATCGAGTTGGACAATTTTTCGCACGAATATCCGCAGTCTAATAATCGCAATGTTCGTGCGACGGGCTCCGAAAAGTTCGTCGTAGATTGAAACGTTTTCGAACGTATTCGAGGTTGCTCCCCATGTAAATTCAGAGTCCCGCGGCGCGGTGGAGCAGACGGAGGATGCACCGACAGAAAAGGTGTCACCCATGATAAATTGACGTAAAAATAAGATCCGCTTCCAGCCGTGCTGTTACGCAGAGAAAGGCCGGTTCAACGAACCCCCGGCGAGAAAAGTAAACGGCGGTCTTAATAAGAGAGATACGGGGACAAACGAGATAAGAGATGAACGTAAGGATGGAAGGATTACTTTTCCAACAGAAACGTTCCTCGGGTGCTTTCCATTCGGCTGGTACACAGAGTGACATAAGAAATCGTTCAACGTTACAGTTTCCAGTTTATTGGCAATCAAACTCCTGGCGCTTGTCGCTATAAAAAAACCGATCCGTATAGTTTTTCTTGCTGGCGGTAACATAGGATGTAATTACATGGAATAAGTCTTGAGACGCACTCGCAAACAGAACGACGGAAAATATAGTTTTGCTATCCGCGAAGCACGCTTCCTTATACGCTAATTAAACAAGTGTTACAAACAGTTCATTCATATCGTAAATACAACGCCTAGAACGGAAAAAAACTTTCTGAACACACCACACGCTTTCGTTTTTTTTCTCCGATCTTTTCTTTTCCTTTCTATTTTTCTTTCTTTTTTTTCTCTCTCTCTCTCTCTCTCTCTTTTTCTTTTTGCTCTTTTCTGGTCGAACACGTTTTCTAAAAGAACGAACAGCACGTCGGAAAGAGGGACACTCACAATTCGCGACTGCAAAGTTCACAATTGTAGCCGAAACTTGGACTAACGAGTTTAATGATACAACAGCGATTCTTCTGCTTTCTACTATCAATTTCTTCACTATAATCAAATTCAACTACGACACACTGTATATTGGGCAACGACGCTTATCTTCATCGAAAATGTTTATCGATCATTGTCGGCTGCCGATGCTGACATCCGGCTAAGAAAATCGTTTTCTCTCGTATAAAATGGACTATTCTTCGTAATTGTCTTTCGATGAAAAATAAATTCGAGCTACAGAAAGAACTCCGTCTCGGATGAAGTCGTTTCTCGCGTGTTCACAACGTTGGTGCTATATTTCGAACTCGTTTGAACGAAGCTGCTCGTTTCTGCGCGCTATACTTCGAGTATAGTACTTCCGTTGGTAAATCGTTTGGACAACTTAACAAACATTTCAATATTGCAGTAACTGACTAGGGTCACTACCAGCTGTAACAAAAACACTGCATTAGACAACTAAACAAAATGATCTTTTTGAACTCTAAGGAGAGGTTACGATCCGATGATGTCTATCAACTGCTTGAAACGTTAATGAGCGTAAATGAAGCTTAGGATATTGTCAGGATAATCGTTCGCGCGTTGGCGTGGATTATTTTGATAAATCTAAAGTTAATTTAAAATAAATTTAATTACTTTGATAAATCGAAATCTCATACAGACTTGCGCATAAACCAATCTGTAAATACGTTGACATTATAATGTAAGACACACATTTAATTTAGAATAAAGACACGATAATTTAATTTTTATTCGGCACCAGTGCGTAGAATAAGTTCGAAATTAGAATTAGAAACCGGCGCCAACAATAACTTTCCTTTTCTCACAACTGTGATAAGAAAGGCTATATTTCTAATATCGAAAAAGTTAAATTATTAATTCTGACACAAAATTTGACAATTATTCCGATTTCTCGAGAGACTTATATCTCGAATTTTAGTCCTTCTCGCGAATACAACCAATAATTTCCATCCCTCTACGTCTCCTCCGCTGCAATTCAAGATAGTTTACCCTCCCATCAACGACAAGATCACTATTAACCCTTTGCACTGGATTGATGCTTCGGAGGAACCACTAAAAATTGTTATATCGGGTTCCAAAATAATGTTTACATTATCGAATTTATTTCTACTTAAAAAATTGCTGAAAATATAACCGTTGTACGAATCGCGAGACTCAATTTCCTGTGCGCAAAGTGCACCAAGAACAAGCCATATAAAACGGAAATAAGTCAGAAAAACTATTTTGTCGGATTTAGAGTGAAAAGGGACAATGTCTAAAAAATCACGCGAACTATAGTTCGTCAGCTAAAATATTCCAAGCTCACCCTCATCAACCCTACAGTTTCAAGCCGACTAGCATTAAGAAAAGAAACAAAAAAGAAAGAGGACTAAGCATATAACGATCGTCATCTCCCCTTGCGAAAGTTCAACGCTACACCGGCGCTGCAACAACAAAAGCTCCTGTCGATCCTCGCTAAGAATTCTCTAATATCTAACAAATTTCCTAATGCCCGGGGCCGCACGGCAATGCCCGTGACGCGAATGGAAAGCACCCTATCAAATCCGCGGCGGGGCGGGCCTTCGAAGCGGTCTCCTCGTGGTCTGCCCGTTTCTGTGGGTGCAATTTCCGCGAGGACGCGGTAAACCGCGGCTCTTCCTCGTGTTCGTCCTCCGAACGAAGCCAGGCGCAGGTGGTGCACTGCCTGCCGAAGCAGTACCAAAAGCAGCAGACCAACCAACCTGTTTCCTGACCTCCGGCTCGGCCTCCCCGGACTCCGACTTCGGCAGCAACAGATCGCCGCGGTCCTCCTCCCGGTCGGTCAGAAAGTGCATGCCGCTGACCACCCTCTCGGACTTGATGAACGTGCCCCCGGTGTCCTCGTTGAAGCTGTCCTCGGCCGTCCGAGCCGGCGTCGTCGTGGCCGGCGGCGGCGACGACGAGGACGACGACGTGCAGATCTCGAACGTGATGTCGGTCGGCAGGCTCGGCAGCTGGTCTGGTTAGACATGGAAAGAGAACAGGCGCAGGATTGTTAGTTTGGCGAGTTTAAACTGTCGGGCCTCTGGAACTGCACAACGCCTGGCGCTTTCTTTTATTGTTACTCGAGCGGATTGCGGAGGCAGGGAGAAACAATTTGCTATTGATTTCGTGGTAGAGGAAGGCATCGTTGAAAACCAGCAGGAATTCCGGCCGAGCTTGATTCCTCGACCGCGGATTTTATGCGTTCGGTTACAAAACTGGTGTACATTGGGTGCAAAACGGAGAAACCGTCGAACACTTCGACTGCCGCGTCGGCCACGTACTCGGAAATTCATTCTTAACTTCGTCTTATTTTATCATTTGGCAATTGTATGTTTATAATTTTGTTCTATTTTGTTTTCCTAATTTTGTTAGGATCTACGAAACGTAAGGGTGATGTAAAACGTGGTTCAATTTTTCAATTGTGATTCAATGAAACAGAACACTTTAATTTTATGGAATTTCTTAGGTTGACGTGGCAGACGATGTGTTGACGAACTTGGAACCACTGTCGTATTCTTTTCAACTCGCGGAAATCATTGAGAAACAAATATTGCGACTAATACAGACGAATTTCAGTTTGCATACAAAATCCGCCGTCTAAATTGCAGACTTTTATGCGAAATGCTCCGCAGGAGATAGGCGCGCCAGACATTTCGTTACTATTCGTTTCAACAAGTTGGAAATAATACATTTTCTAACGTGATTGCAACCTAGTCAATTTTGTTGCAAGTGCAGAAAATCGTTGGCCGAAAAAGTGTATGGGAAATTATTATGTTCTGTCGATGATCGCTGCACCAATTGAAATCTTTTACAATCGGGTGGTGTTGTCTTATCCTAAGTACCGTTACGTTAGAACATTGTTATCGTAGAATATCACACATCCGAAAACAGTGAGTTTTAAGTGTGCAATAAAATCGTGACTTTTATTTCTGCATTGAATGAAATGGTCCACAAAGAGGAACATTATTCTGTTGCTTCGGACTGGCAACGGTACACATCCGTCGGAAAACTGTACTCGCAGAGTCACGAGTGCAACATGTGTATGTAATAGTCGTGAAATAGAAAAAAAGTTAGACCGAAGAGACAGCCTAGTCTTATCACACTCTCCCGATGAAACGCTTATATTCTATGTATTGGAATTTTATTTGCATTCAGGTTTAAATAATACATCTACTTAGCCAGTGCTGACTTCGGTTAGCACCGTTCGATTCAATAAAGAAAGGGCGACTATCGTGAAACAGAATCTTTTACAATCTAATGTTTCTTTGTCTTGCTTTAATGAAGGTTGCGCTAATCGATACAAGAAATAAACGGTCGGATAGACTATTGCAATGTATATCACAAAGAGTTACAAAGAAACTACAATTAGATAAAACAAAATAAAAATAATAATAATTATCAAATTGTTATCGCTCTTATCGCCACCAGACACCAATATATAGGTATACGCACGTACATCAAAATAAATGTACAGCCGACGACCGACGATCAATTAGCGAACGTGCAGCATTTTCCATTTTTTTTCCGTTGCTGTTAAATCTCGTTATATATATGCGTATATAACTTTTTATATATATAAATATATAAACGTGAGTCACCCTGAAACAGGATGAACAATATATAATATAACATAATATAGTATTTATATATAATATATTTATATATATATAATAGATCTTCTGTACTCGCAACGTTTATATTTTCTTAAGAGTTTCCCGCGATTTTGTTTTCTATTGCAAAAAAAAAAAAAAATAGAAGAAAAGAAAAAAAGAGAAAATAAAAACGTAAAATCACTATATTGAACGTCCTGCTGTAGTTGTGTGTCAGTTATATATTCTATGTACCGCTTCTTTCTTCTACCGAAACAGGGTGCCCCGTGCGATGCTCTCAGGATGTTTTTTTTATTTTCAGTGCATTGATAAGAGTGCCAGTACGCGGATATACATACGTATCTCGCTATTTATAATAATATAGTCGGTGCGATCGTGAATTTGCTAAGGAAAAAGAGAGTCGCGCGCGTTGCCGTTCCTCGAATGTTCCTAGAAAACTCCGCGCGCCCTCCGAAAATAAAAAAAGAAAAGTAATCGCGCAAGAAATTAATGCAGGTGTAGATGCGATAGAACGGTGTCCCATCATTTTTTTCGGCTTTTCTCTTTTGTCGCTCTGCGAACGCCTTGCTGCATTTTCACCGTTCCTCTGAGGCAATGGTGCGAATCAAATTCGCGCGAATCCCGTGGCTCGATACAGTTCTGGCGATGGACGTGGCAAAAAAACGAGAAACGAAAACGAGCGGTTCCGTTCGTTGACACTCGCGAACATCCAATACATATCGACGGCCAAAGCTAGTAAAATTTGCAGCTGTTAACTGCCGCATATAAATAGAAATCTAAATAGAAATCTCGCCAGAATACGGTAACGGTTGCTGGAAACCTCCATAAAAGGCGTCGCGATCCGTCGCAAGCTGTATCGTTTAACGCTTAGACCAAATAATCTGTACCGTGGATAATAACATTATTAATAATAATAATCGTAGCGATTAATAATCATAATAACCGTTTCCGTTCGCATCTTGTCTGGCTATCTCACGTTTCATCCCCCTAAATGTGTCGCTGTGGTATCCATTTTAAAGCCTAAACGAACCTTACCGCGCGAACTAGTTACCCGACGTTACAGTTAAAATTAAAAATAATATATTTAACGTTATCTGACGATGTCAATAGTAATAGCGTAATAATAATAATAATAATAATAATAATAATAATAATAATAATAATAATAATAATAATAATAATAATAATAATAATAATAATAATAATAATAATAATAATAATAATAATAATAATAATAATAATAATAATAATAATAATAATAATAATAATAATAATAATAATAATAATAATAATAATAATAATAATAATAATAATAATAATAATAATAATAATAATAATAATAATAATAATAATAATAATAATAATAATAATAATAATAATAATAATAATAATAATAATAATAATAATAATAATAATAATAATAATAATAATAATAATAATAATAATAATAATAATAATAATAATAATAATAATAATAATAATAATAATAATAATAATAATAATAATAATAATAATAATAATAATAATAATAATAATAATAATAATAATAATAATAATAATAATAATAATAATAATAATAATAATAATAATAATAATAATAATAATAATAATAATAATAATAATAATAATAATAATAATAATAATAATAATAATAATAATAATAATAATAATAATAATAATAATAATAATAATAATAATAATAATAATAATAATAATAATAATAATAATAATAATAATAATAATAATAATAATAATAATAATAATAATAATAATAATAATAATAGAACTCTTACAATAGTGGTATAAAACTAAAACGTAAGTAAGGTAGTCACAATGCATGGAAAGTGAAGAAAAAAAAAAGAAGAGTAACACGACCGTCCTCGATTGCTTTTGCACAGCTCATACAATTAGGATAATAACTTTCTCATCTCGCTGTTACCGTTGGAGGCTCCGCGGAGCCTTTCTACACGCAACCCTGTCTTTTCTTTTTGTTTCTTTCGAATAGAAATTTCTTCGCCAGACGAAATCAAGCGAGATCGCGGTACGCGATGTTGTTCGCATTGTTTACGATTTCTCTCTCTCTCTCTCTATATATATAACAATATATTTTCTCTTCGAGCATATTTGGACGCTTTTAAGTCACAAAAGTAATCGACACCATCCTTTTTATACGTTTGCTATATATGTTCTCCGTACGTTATGTATAATATCAAAGTTTCGCACTTATTACTTTTTTTTTTTTTTGTTATATTTAACGATCGATTGGACGTAGAAAAAAGAAGGACTACAAGAAGAAAATACAATGTCCGCGGGATGGCCGAAACGGAAGCGAAAGGTCGTCGTCCTTTCCGCCGTAGCTCGCGCTCTTCCCTCCGGACAAGAAACGAAGAAAATCACACGCAAGTGCACGTTCCCTCTCACGTAATATATCTCTCTTTCATTTTGTTTATATATATATTCTTTTAAATAGCTCTCTGACAATCATAAATCTGCCATACGCACAATCAGACATCCCACACGCTCGTTCTCACACGAATGCTCGCTTACTTGCGCCCTTTAAACACCGTTGCGGAAGACCAAAATACTCCGAAAATAAGTATGTGACACACTTATTTTCTGTTCGGCATTCGTTCGAAAGCTCTCGCGACGGATACGTAGAGAGAGAAACAAGGAAAACTCGGGGGGGTCAGAAGAAAATTCGTCGAATGAGAAAAGCAATAGAACAGGAATAAGAACAGTAAATGGAGGGACAGGGGGAGAGAAGGAGGTTTCGCTGTCCGAAAAGAATGGTCGAACGTGTGCAAGTGAATAACTATTTAAGTCTAGTAAATTCGTGGTGCGCCAGGGATGTATGTGGAAATAATAATTATCCGGTTCGTATCGGAACTCGCAGAAATTACACGGTGCAAGTACCACCAGACTACGCATATCACCATTCTTTCTTTCTTTCTCTCTTGCAAGTACTTGACGGTGCGCTCGTTATTGCTAGTTATTGTACAAATCGCATGCATTTGTTCGTGACATAGACGATTACGAATCATAATTCTGTCGCGAAGGAATAATAACGAAGAGGAACGGGCGAAACATTCACTTCATGGTTTTCCGACGGATATATATATGTATATATGAACAGCTCATCTGTGTCTCTCTACGAAACGAATCGTGATTTTTATTTTCCGTGCGTTCACCCAAAAATATCTGTTCGACAGGTGTCGCTTTCGATTTGGCTAGCGTCTATTATACGGTGTGTCCCAACCACCGGAAATAAAGAAAACGTTGTAACAGTGTATCAAATATAATAGATTTCTTTCAGATAGCGTGTGTTTGTGTGTATTTTTTTTCAACCGAACGAATGAACGAAAAA